ACTGAGCATACACAGGCATGTGCAGCACACACACACATACACACACACACACACTCACTCACACACATGAGTGTGCACACTTATGCAGATGTGCTCATGCTTTTGGTTGCCTGTCAGAATTTGTAAGATACCATTGCCAAAGAGACCATAAATTTCCAGTTTGTTCAATCACTTTCCCTTTATGAAATAGCAAAACCACATCACACTTTGTCCCCCTAGCCTGTTTCATTCGTCCTTTATAGCATTCATTGACACTGGATGTATATGTACACATTAATTTTCCATCTTCTCCATGGAGACAGGAACTCTGCTTGATTTGTTTATTGTTATATCTCCAGAATCTAGGGTAGCATTTGACATTTAACAGATGCTTGTTAAATATTTGTTGAGTGAATGAATAAGTGGCAAAAGGAAAGAAATGCCAGGAATGCTTTTCCATGATAACAGCAATAAAAACAGAAATAGTATCTGGATAAAGATATGACTATTATAATTGTATAGATAGAGACCAATTTGAAACAAAGACATCTTTTACCTTCTATACCTTGAGGGTGTACAGAGCAGAACCTCGCCTCTCAGGATCTGATAGTCTTTCTTGGGGGATAGTGTAAAGGATTTTTGAAGTGCTACAGAATTCAGAAGTAGGAGTCATCACCAGGAACTGCCAGGAATGGAGAGGTTTTTTTTTTTTTTTTTTTTTCAGAAAAGACTGAATGGGGCTTTGGAGTTTAAACAGGTTTCAAACAGAGAGTGGCCCAGGGTCTGTGTCTTTTCTCAGAAGTGTGTATTTTGCATAATATTTGGGACTCAAGAGAATGTAGGCTAGATGAATTTAAGGCTTTATGCACAGGATCCAGAGAAGATAGAAGTTAGGGCAGTTACGATGAGAACTGAAAGAGCTGGAGATGCTAATTATTTGTCATCAGACTGTGATTTGAAGAGATGTAACTGGAAGATACTGAAGCAGCTCCTGGTGATTGAATGAAGATTCTGGGGGAAGAAGGAAGAACAAAAGGTGAAAATCGTGCCTTTGAGCCTAGGAAATCTGAAAAACAGCATTTTCACGGCTAGAAATAGAGGAATTGGGAAGGGAAATGGTTTTGGGGTGTGTTGTGGTGATAAGAAGAGGACATTGATTAGCCAAAATTTTCAGCAGTTTTGTTAATATGGAGACTACCTTTGAATTCTTTAGCTAGTACTACATGCTACATACAGCAAGTACTAAATGAGTGTTATTGATGGATATCACCATGGATGGCAAATCAGTTTTCTTCTCTCCAGTGGTAAGGTTAGAGGGCACTTTGGTCCTTTATCTCCTTCAACTCAGACTTAGACATATTTTCTAGCCATCATAACTTATCAATTCCTACTAACTATAAACACAAACAAGAAAAATTTGGTTTCCTTGTTTCTTTTCTCCTGACTCTTCTGCAGTGATCAAATTTACAGTTCTAAGTCTGACTTGCCATTTATAGCAGTGGAACTGAAGGTCTCAGAAAATCTCTAGTACTTGAACATTTGGATTTTTTTTTTAGCATCTTCAGTTTCAGAGCATCTCAGCTGATTGGGTATGGTAGCAGCAAGAGACAGGAGGATGGGGAGTTCAAGGTCAAACTGTGTGCTATATGAGACCCTGACTCAGACAAACCAAACCAAACCAAACCAAACCAAACCAAACCAAACCAAACCA